ACTGACAGTTCTGACGTGCCATGGTAAAAAACCATAACGACCTCCTCAGGAGACAGATACAGGATATAACTGATAGAGTTCCCTTCATCATCCAGTACTTCCCTGGAGTGGTAGTAGTAATGGTAAGGAAGATATTAGGGGTTAGTGTGGTCCAAATGTGTACTACAACTTCTGGCTCATTCTCTTCCCTGTAGAATATTCAGCACATCTTGGAAAGTTGTCTTCATTGAAAGTAAGATGGTTAATGATGAGAAAGAAACTCAAACCTCCTTGGTGATTGATGTAACAGAACTGTTGGTCAAACAGGCAGGTTGCATGGATACTTGCCAGTGTAAACTGCTACCCACCGGCCTGAAGAAGGATCAGCGTGTTCTGATGTTACCGTCAGCACGCCTGCAATCTTTGAAACTAACATTGCAGCTCTGAACTGCAACTGCCATCTACTGGATTGTCTTTTTGTCACAGGAATAAAAAAAGTACAAAATCCAAATTGTCTTCCTGGCATTTGACAAAGATGACATTGCTTTTATATTTCACAAACTGACTAAAACAACCACACTTGTCTCAATAATTTTCACAGTACATGCTAGGCTATTCCTGCTGAACGTGGCTGTACCAGTGGAATTTTCTCAACTTTCTCACAACTCTTAAAACAATCATTGCAAATTTTAGTAAGAAAATTAGACGGGCCTTGACCCTCAGAAATCTAGGCATTGTATTACAGTAAAACTTTGTTAATCTCAGCTCAAATTGGTGAGCTGTTCCACGTTAGTTAAACAGCAGTTTGACTCTGTGATATTTATATAATTGTAATCCATCGGCTAACATCTCAAGCTATTGCACTTTCCAGCCAGATTAATTCTTGTGTCAGATGATGAGGGGATCTGCAGATTCTGTCTCATCCTCACCATTTGCCATCCTGTTTTCATTTTATCTGCAAACTTGGCTATAGCACAATCATTTTCCTCATTCAAGCCATAACTATATATTTTACTTAATTGTGGCCCCAGCACTGTTCCCTGTACCACTCCATTAGTTACAGGCTATCATGCTGAAAACATCCACCTTATCCCAAATATGTGTCATCTATTAGCTAGCCAATTCTCTACTCATGCTAACATGTTGTCTTCAACGCCAAGTGCATCTATCTTATTAAGTAACCTAATGTGTGTACCTTTTCAAACTCTTCTGAAAATCCAAATATATTACACCCTTCGCTTCCCCTTTATTTATCCTGCTTGTTACCTTCTCAAAGAATACGATAAACTTGTCAGGCATGAATTTCCACTTCATGAAGCCATGTTGACACTGCTTAGTCACATTATATATTTCTAAATGCTCTGATATTATATCCTATATTATACACTAACATTTCCCTAATAACAAGTATTAGACGTTATTGACTAACTGGTCTATAGTTACTTGTTTTATCGTCTTATTCCCTTTTTAAATAAAAGTATTCCGCTGGCAGTTTTCCAATTCTTTGGGACTTCTCCAGAATTTAAAGATTCTTGAAGATAACTACCAGTGAATCTACTATCTCTGTTGCCACTTCTTTTAATATTTAGAACATAGAACAGTACAGCACAGTACAGGCCCTTCCACCCACGATGTTGTGCCGAACTTTTACCCTAATCCTAAGGTCTATCTAACCTCCACCCCTACCTTATACTATCATCCATATGTCTATCTAATAGCCGCTTACATGCCCCTAATGAGGCCAACTCCGCTACCCTCTCTGGCAATTCATTCCACGCCCCGAGCACTCTCTGAGTAAAGAACCTACCTCTGATGTCTCCCCTATATCTACCTCCACTCACTTTAAAACTATGCCCCATCATAATAGCTACCTCCACCTGAGGAAAAAAGTCCATGGCTTTCCACTCTATCTATACCTCCAAACATTTTGTACACCTCTATCAATCACCTCTTATCCTTCGTCGTTCTAAACAGAAAAGCCCCTAGCTCTCTCAACCTTTCCTTGTAAGACCGTCCCTCCATTCCAGGCAACATCCTGGTAAATCTCCGCTGCAGCTTTTCCAACGCTTCCACATCTTTCCTTTTAATGATGGAAATGCATCGCAGATAAAGTAATACGTGGATAAATGTGAAGTTATCCATTTTGGTTGCAAAAACAGAAAGGTATTATTATCTTAATAGCAATAGATTGGGAAAGAACGAAGTGCAACAAGACTTGGATGTCTTTGCATACCAGCCACTGAAACTAAGCATGCAGGTGCAGCAGGTAGTGAGAACGCAAATGGTATGTTGGCCTTC